CCACTGCTTCCTAACCAAAAAGAAGTCGGGGGATGGAGACCTATTCTCGATCTCAGGAGACTAAACAAACATGTAGATTCTCAGTGATTCAGAATGGTCACCCTATCCACAATAATTCCTGCCCTGAACAAAGACAATTGATTATTGACTCTTGACCTTCATGACACCTATTTTCACATCTCCATGCATCTGGCACATGGCAAATATCTCAGGTTCACAGTCACCAGAAAACACTACCAGTACACTGTCTTCCTCTTTGGGCTTTCTACAGCCCCCGAGGGTATTCTCAAAGGTACCAGCAGTTGTGGCTGCTTAACTGAGCAGACAAGGAGTCTCCATATTCCCATATCTGGATGACTGCCTCATAAGAGCAACTGCAAGCTCAGCTACACAGGAAGCCGTCTCCCTCACCAGATTCCTTTTTCTCACAATGTGGCTTCAGATCAACTTTGAAAAATGCAAACTCCAACCATCACAAATGATCAAATTAATTTGACTGCATGATGTCCATAGCCTCCTTACCCCTCAACAGATTTCATGCTATCAGGGACCTCATAATGATGATACAGAACTTGCCAAACACAACGGTGAGAACTTGTTTACAGCTAAAGGGCCATATGGCCGCAGCCACATCGGTGGTCTTGCATGCAAGACTGCGCATGAGATCACTGCAACATTGGCTCCAGACAGTGTACCGGCCACGATAGAGCTCCATCTCTATGATAGTGTCTGTCCCAACCAGGGTCAAGCGCTCCCTCCACTGGTGGACAGACCAAAGAAATGTGTGCGCTGGTGTCCCTTTTTGCAAATGTACCCCGTCTAAGACAATTAAGATGGATGCATCCTTCCTTGGGTGGGGAGCTCATATAGGCCGCCTTACCAGGGTCAATGATCGGACCAGGAATCCAGCCTCCACACATCCTGAGTTCTGGAGCTCAGGGCAGTATTCTACACGTGTCAAAACTTCCTACATCAAATAAAAAATTGTACAGTTCAGATTTTCACAGACAATCAAGCAACGACTTTTTACATAAACAGGCAAGGGGGCTCCAGATCTTTCCCATTATTCAGAGAAGCTGTCCGCCTCTGGGCATGGTTCATAGCACATAACATATACTTACAAGCTTCATAACTCCTGGGCAGAGACAATCTGATGGCTG